TTGTGTGGTTCAGTGGGCCCTGCGCAGAGTACCGGTAGTTATTTTTATAAGCTCTGAGGTTGATACAGTTAAGCTTATGCTCCGTGGACTTGCCTTTGTAATCTTCTGATGCTATTTAAGCATGTTCAAACCCATGGAGGATTTTTCATTAAAGGAGAGAGACAGACAGACAGACAGACAGAGGGAGAGAGACAAGAGACACACACAGAAAGGGAGAGAGACACAGAGCGAGACAAAGACAGAGAAAGAGAGACAGAAACACACAGAGAGAGACACAGACAGGACAGAGAAAGAGACAGAGACAGAGACACAGAGAGAAACAGACAGACAGAGAGAGAGGGAGAGAGAGAGGGAGAGAGATACAGGCACACAGACAGAGAGAGACATACAGAAAGAGACAGACACACAGAGACAAAGAGAGAGACAGAGAGAGAAACAGAGAGACAGAGAGACTGAGACAGAGAGAGAGTGACAGACAGAGAGAGAGAGAGAGAAAGAGAGACAGAAACTGAGAGAGAAAGAGATAGAGAGAGACAGAGAGAGGAGGAGAGATACAGACAGAGAGACAGAGGGAGAGATACAGACAGAGAGACCCAGAAAGAGAGGGACAGAGAGAGACAGACAGAAACAAAGACAGTGAGAGAGAGAGAGAGAAACAGAGAGACAGAGAGAGGGAGAGAGACACAGACACAGACAGTTAGAGACAGAGACATAAAGAGAGAGAGACATACACAGCAAGAGACAGACAGAGACAAAGACAGAGACAGTGATAGAGAGACAATGACAGAGAGAGAAACGGAGAGACAGAGAAACTGAGACAGAGAGAGAAAGAGAGACAGACAGAGAAACTGAGACAGAGAGAGAAAGAGAGACAGACAGAGAGAGAGGGACAGAGAAACAGAGAGAGGGAGAGAGACACACACAGAGAGAGGGGGAGAGACAGAAAGACACACACAGAAAGAGAGAGGGACACAGAGAGAAAGACAGCGACATTGATAGAGAGACAGAGAGAGAAAGAGAGAGAGAAACAGAGCGAGAGAAACAGAGTGAGAGAAACAGAGAGACAGAGAGACTGAGACAGAGAGAGAAANTATTGCCCTGCTTACAGAAACTGCCTCTCTGGTTAGCCCTTATTACATTGTAACAGCTAAGGTGAAGTGCCCATCGATGGTGATCACATTAATAGATTAGCAGATTAAGAGAGTTGGAAGAGACCTTGTAGGTCACCTAGTCCAACCCCCGGCCCAAGCCTACACCATTTCTGACAGATGGCAATCCAGTCTTTTCTTGAAAGCTTCCAGGGATGAAGCTCCCACAACTTCCGAAGGCAACTTCTGTTCCATTGGTTGATTGCTCTGTCAGAAAATTTCTCCTTGTTTTCAGATTGAATCTCTGCTTGATCAGTTTCCATTCATTATTCCTTGTCTGACCTTCAGGTGCTTTGGAAAATAGCTTGACTTCCCTCCTCTCTGTGGCAGCCGCTCAAATATTGGAAGACTGCTATCCTGTCTCCCCTGGTCCTTCTCTTCACTAGACTAGCCAGACCCAGTTCCTGCAACCGTTCTTCATATGTTTTAGCCTCCAGTCCCTCATTATCTTGGTTGCACATTACCCTAAGATGCTGCAACCATCGTAATAGCAATAGCACTTAGACATATATACTGCTTCACAGTCCTTTACAGCCCTCGCTAAGCATATTTTACAGAGTCGGCTTATTTCCCTCAATAATCTGGGTCATCATTTTACCGACCTCGGAAGGATGGAAGGTTGAGTGAACCTTGAGCCTGGTGAGAATTGAACTACCAAACTGCCGGCAGCCGGCAGTCAGCAGAAGTAGCCTGCAATACTGCACTCTAACCACTGTGCTACCACATGTTACATACTTGGTTGGCCAAGTGCATTAATAACAACAATGAGGCAGTAACAGAAAAGAGGTTTAACACTGCCATAAGAATAGTTAGGTGCAGCAAATGCCTGAAGTCTTTAGAGATGGATATTTTGGACCCATTTAAAAAGATTGGGCCAATCTATTCGTAAACAAAACATTTTCAGCTCCAGCAGATGGGATTTAGAATTTGCATTCCCCCCACCCAAATTCTAAGAACAGGACATGACCTCCAAGATATAATAGTGTTGGAAGAAATATCTATCTGGTTCAGTTCCAAAAATCCATCCATTCTTAAGCCAAGAGATCGGCCACTCCAGAAACATTCTTCTGTCAGTAAAGGTTTTGGAATCAAAATAAACCTTCTTTCCTTGCATCTGGTCAACCTCCATTTTATTTCCAGCGCCTTTCTCCCAGCTTGGAACCGAACTGGATTTTTCTTCCAACAAAATGCAAGATGCCATTACTAACTCTGGAACTGTTCCCAGGTTGCTGAATGTAGCTAATGCTACAAATCACACAATCGATGTTTAATAATCAAGTTACTTGACGAAGGTCAAGTCCTTGGCTTTGAGAAGCGCATTAAAGATCTCAGCTTTCATTAATATTTGGGATAAAGCAGAGGTTGACAAACAGCACAAACTAGAATCCTGATATTGGTGATTTATAAGGTTTGGATTCCTTTTAGCTTGCACACTGATGAACCCAAGAAATGTGCAATTTGTAGACATGTCAAAAATCACAAACATTTGTCAGTGTAGAACAGGGGTGTCAAACTTTCCAGGGTGGCCCCGCAGTCCAGATCTAAGCATCCCGCGGGCCGGATCCGGCCCGCGGGCCTTAAGTTTGACATCACATTTTGTTACCACCAGTTCACCTTGCTTGCGCCCAACCTTCCGCGTATGCGCCAGGCCTAAAAAATATGCCTAAATAGGACAGCATACACCTGGGGTGGGTGGGTTCAGCCAGTTTGGACCAGTTCACCCTCGATTTCCATTACTGGTTCAGGTGAACTGGTCCGAACTGTCGGAATACCACAGTGATGGGTTTCAAAAATTGTTCGAACCTACTCTGTGGGTGTGGCCTCCTTTGTGGGAGTGGCTTGCTGCCCATGTGACCAGATGGGAGTGGCTTGCTGCTCATGTGAAGATGCCGACGGCACTTGTGAGAACCACCTTAAATTACCTCACACACAGCACTGGCATTCATAAGAATATGATGTATGATGTAATGGATCGGGGTATATTTGTTTTTCTTAAAATATTGGAAATGTGCAACAATATTCAGCAATTCTACCACATAAATTCAGCATTAGACAATATGCTGGGACACATCTACACCAAATTGTTCATCTGAATTTAATGGCTAAATCATATGTAAACCTGACAACTACATCCTATTTGAAATTACATTTTTGAAAACCCCAGGTTAGTATCTTTCTTTCTTTCTTTCTTTCTTTCTTTCTTTCTTTCTTTCTTTCTTTCTTTCTTTCTTTCTTT